TATCACAAATTATGTTAAGATTTTTTTAATGTTTTCTTTGCTTAAGTTAATAATTGTTAATATGTTTTTTTTTTGGAAGGATGTATCAAATCTTCTATTATACTCCATAAATAATCATTATTATATATATGTAAAGTTTTTTTTTTGGAAAGAAAATATGTGTAAAGATTTGTTTCTCAAATAAATAAAAAAAAAAAAAAAAACTAAGGACACCAGGAGATGACACGTGTTTATGTCATAGTGACATGTGTACACTTTGGAAAATACATGATGTCAACAATGTTTTGTTTTAGTATTAGTTAATAGACTAGATTAGATTAGTCCCGTGCGATGCACGAGTTTATTTGAAATATAGATTATATATTTTTATGTATTCTTACGTATAAGAAAAATTATTGAGACATAACCATTAGTTGTAAATGTTAATTTTATAAAATAAATTTTAAAGAAAAACAAAATCGAATATGAAAATTCAAACATATACATAAAAGTTAGATTATTAATGTATGATTTTAATTAAGAAAATAAAAAATGATTTTAAACTTGTAATATATAAAGGAAAATAGAAAAAAAATATATACATCAAAGTATTTTGTTCAATGAAACATAAGGGAAAGATGTATTAGATACCAATAGTTGGTGATAGAAGAAAAATAAATAAATTAAAAAGTATAGATACATTGAGAGGAGGAAAAATTAAATTTGAAATTTGAAACCAAAGAAAATATAATGACGTCAGATTTTTATTTAGGCGGGAAAATTTTTCTTACTTCCTCCGTTACACATTATGTGCAACAAACCTTGTTGCAAGTTTTCCAAGACAAAATTTGTTAATGTTGATTAACAAAGTGAAGGGTTTGGGATTAAGGGTAGGAGAGAGAAAAGGGGAAAATTAATCAACCACCACTACCACCTGCCACGGCCTCTCACCGACACCACCCACCAGCAACAACATCCACCACCACCTACATCCACCCTCTCTTTGACCCAACCGCCGCCACCACCACCCTATCTCGTAACCACCTTCTCACCACCACCATGACCCGAAACCCCACCAACCAAATTAAACCAACACCACAACCATAACCCAATTACCCAAAACTCACCCCTCCAAATCGAACTAACCAACTTCACAACCGTAATCCAATCACCACAACCAAGATCTGAAACCCCTCCATAACCACCAAAACCAACTAACCTCGCCCAGCTCACAACCACCACATACCCAAATCAATTTAGGGTTTGATTATGAGGAGAATCGGCGACTATAACAAGGGAAAAAGGAGTCGGCGGCGACTTTGACAAGGGAAAAGGAGGTCGATGACTCGATCGACGATGGTTGTGAGAGTGAAAAGAAGAAATAGATCGAAGCAAAAACAAGGCCCGTGCCTTCGTGGTGGTTGGAGGATTTCTAGACCTTTCGGGCAGAGGTGGTGCTCAGGTGGATTCGGTGTTGGAGGTGGCCGACTGTGTGGGGGATTTTGGGTTGGGTCGTGGTTATGAGTGAAGAGTGAGAAATATAGTGGTGTTGGTGGCGGCGGCCTGGCGACGGTGACTGCTAAGAGGGAGGTAATGATGGTGGTGGATGTGGTTGTGAGGGAGGAGAGAGATTGGGATTATGGTAAATCATGAATGAATTAATGTAAGTTAATATGTTAATAACATATAATCTTATTCATTTAAGGTGTATTATTGAAATTAAGTAAGGGTAGATTTGTCCTTTTACACAAAAAAATTTACCATAGATGGAAATATTTACTTTGTAGCACATAATGTGTAACTTCCGTTTTTGTAAATTGTTGAACATAATATGTAACGGAGGAAGTATAAAGCTGCCAGGTGGACAATATGATGTCAGCGGTTGTTCCTTTAGTTTATTTATAGATAGTGTGTGGCCCGGGCGATGCACCGGGTTTGTACTTGTTTAATTAGCTATTAAATTCAACTATTTAGATAGTATCACTTGTTGGTTTCGAGTTTAAGTCTTGCTATAAACATTTTTAAGTTTTCTAACTCAATCATAACATAATGGAAATAAATAGTTAAAAAATCTTAAATAAATCTGGTCCACAATAATTTATTATGGACCACTACTTGTCACGTCTGTAAAGAGTTGGTGCGGTTAAACTACTGTTTTAATTTTCACATAATTTCTTTAATTACCTTGTTCGAGCACTCTCACCAATGGGGAGAAAAATGCCCATGGGGAGTTTTTGGGTTTTAATCCAAAAATAAAAGTCCCCATCAATGGGCTAAATAAAAAATGCCCATGGGCAAAACATTTTATGATCAAAGTTTGGGCAAAATTAAAATCAGACCAAGAATGAGTGGGCCCCACGTGCATATCTGGTAATAGCATTTTTTTTGCTCACCACGCCTCAAAACGCAGCGTTTTGAGGAAGCGTGTGCTGCGCTTCAACTCAAAACGCAGCGTTTTGAGGAAAGGAAAAGCAAAATAAAAAAATATTATATGCACCCCTGACAGGCGCGTCAGCACGCCCAATCAGGCGCTGACACGTGTCCTGTCAAGGAGCTTGGACCAATCAGGAAATTCCTGATTATTGCAACGGTTATCATTTTGTAACCGTTATTTTGTGCTTTTAAAATAAAAAAAAAATTACCAACGGCTAGAAAAAAAATTCCCTACAAATAGAGACCCATTTTGCCTATATTTTCATATTTCCAAAATTCACATAAATTTGTTGTATTTACATTTTCTCTCAATTTCTCCCTCATAATTAGTCATCCTTTTAATATTAATATTATTATTATTATAATTATAATTATTATTATTAAAATAAATATTATTATTATTATTATTATTATTGGAAGTATAATTATTATTGTTATTATTTTAGTAGTATTGTTATTAATATTATTATTGTTGTTATTATTATTTTTGTTATTATTATTATTATTATTATTATTATTATTATTATTATTATTTTTATTTGTGTTATTATTATTATTATTGTTATTATTGTGTTCGTTTTTGAAATTAATCAAAAAAATAGATATGGATCCCAATAACCCCTTTTACTCACTACTTTCTCAAAATTGTAATGATTTAGATGAGAATTTCATGAATCAACCTCAATTTCAACTTTTCCTACAAAGAATGAGCAACACCTCTCTGCAAAATTCTCCACAACAACAAATACCTCCACAACAACAAATACCTCCACAAATTCCAAATGAAAACACTGATTATGAGCAATCACCTCCTGCCTAACAAGGAAGTAACTCTCAGTACGATGATAGCCAAGAAGAAAATGTGCCTGAGACACCTCAATACCCTCCGTCGACTCAAAGAATGCCGGTGGGTTCCAACTAACGACTCGCTAAAGCTAGTCGTATTTGGTCAGTCGCAGAAGATGAAGCTCTTATTGGGCTATATTTAAAATACAGTGGAAATGCGATAGTGGGTACGGGCATGAAAGCAGCTGAACTTTGGCGACAAATATCTGTGGCGTACGACATGGTTCAAGCTAGGCAGCCAGAAATACTACCACCCAGAAATGCGAAGAGTTTGGAGAACCGTTGGAGAAGGATGGCGACAGATGTACAGTTATGGACAAGTTGTTATGATGAAGCGGATCCGTTAACTGGGAGTGGATTCAACGAAGTTGATCGAATTCAAAAGGCCTCGAAGTTGTTCCATATATCATCCAAACCACCACACAATTTTGTTTTTCCCCACGCTTGGGAAATGATAAAGAATGACCCAAAGTGGAGGCCAAAACTCAGATGGGCATTGTCACTAAAGGAACGACAGGATTGTCAACTGCGTTCGGAAGGGACACCGAGGATAGCAGTGGAAGTGGAAAGAGATCGAGAACTGACAGTGAAGTTGAAGGAGATGTTCCCGTTGGTGGGTTTTCATCAGGAGGTATACCCAGACCCGACGGGGTAAAAAAAAAGCAAAGGCTAAGCGTAAGGGAAAAGCTATTGCTCATGATAGTGCAATTTTAAGTATTGGTGAACAAATATAGGCTTGTACTGAAGTTAGAAGCTTTGAGGCAAATTTACGGCAACAAAGGTTGGACCTTGAAAGGGAAAAGGAAAAGAGGAAAAACAAACAGGTCGAATTACAAGAGAAGAAGATGAAATTTGATATGTTGCAAGCCATTATGTCAAAAACGACGCCACTTACACCAGCTGAAGAAGCGTGGAAGGAGGAACTAATTCAAGAAGTGTATGGTGGAAAGTAGAGTAGTTTATTATGCATTATGATTTCAAGTTATGTTGCAATGAAATAAAAGGTATTTTGTTTATTATGTTGCAATGAATTAATTTTTATTATTAATTTTATCCAAAAATTAATCAATTTATATTACATTTTCATATATTTTGTTCAATTATGAGTCAAGTACTAGTTAGTGTGTGTAGATTTTGTCTTATACAATTATGAGTCAAGTGGTTGGTTTTATCAACCATTGAACTGTCAAATCCCAAAAAGTAGTCAAGTCCAATTGTAGTTTTTGTTTTATACAAGCATTGAGTAGTCATTTCATATATAACTTGAACCGTATGACAAGCATTGGTATTGATTATTAAGAATTGAGTAGTCATGTATTTTGTTTTTACTATACATTGAGTAGTCTTTTCACACTCAGCTGAAGGACATGCACTGAAAAGCTTTCCTATTTAAAGGTGTGAAATCCATAAATTGATCCACAACACCAAAACATTCAAAAACCAAACACAGAAAATGTTTTCCATAAGCTCAACCTCAAGCTCAAATTCTTCTGATTCAGATCAATATGCGGAATTTGATAATCTAGTTGACGAATTTGTCACAAATCACTTACCTAACATAATGCTTCCTCAACCACCTCCATCCGAGATCGAAATTGCAAATGAAGATGAAACTGTCCCGCGGCGTAGAGGAGATAGAGAAAGGGAGAAAGGGCATTTGCAATTGTACAATGATTACTTCGCAATAGGTTAGTCAGTTCCGTCGTCGATTTCGAATGCACAAACCTTTATTCTGTCGGATTATGAATAAAGTGGTTGAGGGCAATCCATTCTTCCAGCAGCGTAGGAATGCAGCTGGTAGGCTTGGCTTATCACCTCTGCAGAAATGCACCGCTGCAATAAGAATGTTAGCGTACGGTGTTGCTCCGGATGCCGTAGATGAATACATACGCATGGGTCAAACAACATCTAGAAAATCAATGCAACATTTTACTCAAGGGGTGATCAAGCATTTTGAGGCCGAGTACTTAAGAAGTCCAACAGATGAAGATTTAAGGAGAATCCTTCACCAATATGAAATGCGTGGATTCCCGGGCATGATCGGTAGCATCGACTGCATGCACTGGGAGTGGAAGAACTGTCCTATGGCTTGGAAAGCACAATACGCAGGTCGTAGCAAGAACGCAACCCTTATCCTGGAAGCTGTTGCGGATCAAGATTTATGGATTTGGCTTGCATTTTTTGGAATACCCGGCTCTTGTAATGATCTTAACGTCCTATACCGTTCTCCGGTGTTTGACGATGTTTTGAAAGGTCGGGCACCACCAATTAGTTTTATGGTAAACGACCATGAGTACAACATGGGATACTACTTAACAGATGGTATATATCCGAACTGGGCAACATTTATACAAGGTATCACATATCCTCAACTCCAGAAGGACAAGTTATTTGCAGATAAACAAGGTGCAGCTCGGAAAGACGTTGAACGTGCGTTTGGAGTTCTACAGGCTAGGTTTGCCATATTACAACAACCCTCACTTGCTTTCGACGAAGACATTTTGAGCGACATAATGAAAGCTTGTATCATTATGCACAACATGATTGTCGAGGATGAACGACACAATTACACTCGTGCCGAAGTTTTGAGAAGGTATTATGAAGAAGATCGCCCTCAGCTTCATAGAGCAAGGTCCGGTCTGAGTACAAATGCCACAGTGAATAACAACGAGCCTTTCGAATTTGACGTTGGCCGACCACCAAACGTTGATTTTGACGCGTATATTCAAAGAAGAATTACCCTGTGTGATAGCCAAACCCATTTTTCTTTGAAAGATGATTTATTTGAGCATATTTGGCAAAAATACGGTCGTACAAATAAATAAATAGTTTTGTAATCGTTAATTTATTTGGTTTGTATGATAGGTGTACGATCATTATGTTCCAATGTTGTAATCGTTAATGTTGTACTAATGAAAAATGAAATTTCGCATAAAATAATTATAAAAATAATTAATATTGTACTCATAAATAATTTAATCAATAAAAAAATTTAGTTAAGAATAAATATTATTATTTTATTAAAAAATACATTTCGCATAAATTAATAATAAAAATAATTAATATTGTACTCATAAATAATTTAATCAATACAAAATTTTGTTAACAATAAAATTAAGAAATACTAAATTACAAATTTAATGATGTGTAGGAGAGATAAATATTGGTGGGGTATAGGGTTAAAAATAGGAGAGAGAATGGTGGGGATTATAATTTTTGACCATTGGTGTAGAAAAAAAATGACCAAGAAAATGCCCATGGGGAGGATGAGTGAGAAAGTGGTTAGAGAGAGATTGGGCAACCAAACAAATGCCCATTAGTGGCAATGCTCTTCTTACCTTTTGTTTTCTCTCTCTTCGCCTGATAAGTTCAGTCTTCTCTTCTTCAAAGCTCCATTTTATCTTCTTTCAAAGCTCTCCCATAGAAGTTTTCTTTCTCTACACTTTCAAGATTTATTAGCTTCTTCTTCAATGGTGAAAAAGAGAGGCGGTAGAAAGATTTAGATGAGAAGAGGCCGTCGTTCTCCAGCAAATTATGATGATGAACATAATCGTGGTAAAAATTCTGATTTTCGAGCTGCTATTGAACTTTTAAGCTTATTATGTTGTTATTCTTCTTAAACTGAAGCTCTTCGAAGCTCTTTGGATTTTTTGTTTGAATTTTGTTTAATATTAATGATCTAGGGTTTCAATTTGTTCAATTCATGTTTGATTTATATTTAAATTGAATTTTTTTGTTTAATGTTTATACATTATCTATTTAATTATGGTTTTGATTTCGTATATTATAATCTTTGCTCTCGTATTTAGTTTAGAGATTTTAATTTTGGATACCAGTGTGTAAATTAACAATGATGACCTCGTAGCTTTATCTCTAACCTTTACTTTCAATAATTATTGTTGACAGTGAGAATTTTGATGATAATAACAAGGATTATTATAGTGTTATAATCGCAAGGGTCAGTTATAATTTTATGAGATATGGTGATGACTTGTTTTTAGTCAAAACGTCAATTAACTGAAATAGATTAATAGGGTAACTATGAATTAGAAATGGTTACTATATTTGAAAAAAGAGTGTTTTATTAGCTTGATAACAGACAGGTCAATCACTGTGTGAATAAGAGAATCACTATATGTTGCTTTTCTAATTTTGTGAGATATGCTAGCTCTTTAAGTAAAATAGGGTTAATATAGATGAAATTTGTTTAGTTTATTTAAGTCATTATATACTTCAGAGCTATTATTCACTTAACTATGCATTTATATTGACTAGTGTAGTGAGTTGGGTGGTGTGTTTATTGGTCATACTAGAGTTGGACTTTATAATAGAATCCTCGTTAGCATTATGGATTTTCTCTCAGATGGGTGGTCAAGGCCAGGGCCCAGGGGAAAGGCAGAGCATATATGACTTTACTATAATTGTGAAATAAGTTTCGAACCTAATATCTTGACTAAAAGTAATAACATAAGACTAAATGACTACTGAGATGCTAAACAAATTTGATAATATAGTTATAAGATTTTATTTTTTTGGTAAATAGAGAATTTTATTACCTAAAGAGAAACCAGTTACAACTTACAAAAGCTAAGTAATAACTGACAACAAACACTACAAGACCTGAACCAGGCCAAACCACCACCAACAGCCCCAAGTACCAAGCCTAGCCACCTTCTAGGAAGGTCTTAGGACAACTATTGGACTCAGGTTCCCAGCCACCTTCTAGGAAGGGTTCTGGGAACCAGGACCAGACAAAGAACCTAAAACAAACAAGCAGAACAACACTGCAAAACACAAAGGCCAAACCAGCCAAAACAAAAAAAAACAAAAAAAAAAACAAGACTACAGGATCAACAGAAGTATATCATGCTCAGCAGAAAACATAATATCGCTAATAACAGTATCAGCAGTCTTGCAGCTTCCTGTAAAAAGCACAATATTCCTTTGTAACCAGATATGGTAAATAGCTTCAGCAAAGCACATCCCCAATAGCTTATTCTTAGGTCTAGACTTTCTGCAGACCTTAGAAACCTAAGTCATCTCAGCTTCAACTGACTGACAAATCTCTTATAATCCAAGACTTGAAGAACCTGCAACCATACAGTTTTACTGAAAGTGCATTCAAAGAACAAGTGATGCACAGTTTCAAAACTCTGATTGCAAAGAAAACAAACAGGGTCACGGTTGATGTTCCAACTAAGCAATATGTCCTTAGTCAACAATTTGTGCTTAATAGCAAGCCAAGTGACAAATATGCTTTTTGGAGAAGTTGCATTATTGCATAAAATTCTTCTCCAATCAGCTTTAGGAGCTTGTATGCTAATGCATTGATAAATTTTCTTAATCTTGACTCTACCACCTTGCATTACAAAGTCCCAGTTACCAATAGTATCAATAATAGTTCTGCATTTCAAGATTCTTTTAAGCACCCAAGAGCATTTCTTAGGAGCAGCCATACCCTACAATAATTTTCCTTTGAAATAGTAAGTGTGAACTGACAGGGTAAAGTCGTATCCCCTAATCAAAAGTAATTACCTAAGTCCTCTAACTAAAGTAGATAGGGAAGTAGGGTCGAACTCCACAGGGAAACAAGTCTTTCTATTCCTAATTAACTAATATAATCTAGATTATGAAGTAATCAATATTTATATTTGAATAATAAACTAAACCACGAAGATTGAGAATAGGGAGAAAACAATATATAAAAGGATCTAGGGCATAGGTTCACCAATAAATAATACTCCAGGGTAAAACATAATAATCAATCATTGACATTGCATAAATAACATGATTAACAGGCTCTCGCAATTTATTAATCAACATAGATCTAACAGGCTCTCGCAATTTACTAGATCTAAGTTTCTATTGAAAATAGCCTTTAATATCAAATTAACATCTGCTCGATTCATCAATTCAATATTGCTATACTTTTACAAGCCATAATTGTAAAGAGTTAAAACAATTCAATAAGAAATTATCATGCAATACCAAAAATCAATAATAGTCCATCGTCAATGCATCAATTAACCAGATCGTAAAGGACTTTCGCTACGTTTTACATTCACAGAATTAATCTACTGGTATTAAATCTCATCTCTCGAATCTCGACTTAACCATTTATAAATTAATTTGCCTATTGAAACTAGACCTAAACATCAATTCTCATCTGTCGAATCTCGAATCAATATTGTCAAACTCATGCATAAAAGATCAGGCCTAATCTAGTCACAGAGCATTAAATCAATCAATAGGAAATTAATCTAGCATTGACAATCAACAACAATAAATTACCCCTTCATATTATTTATGGATCCCCATAAACCCTAGAAAGAAAACTACTCACACATAATAGAAACTAAACTAATCAAAGCAATAAAGTAAGACATAATTAAAGAATAAACAACTAAGATTAAGAGAAGAGAAATAGTTACCAAACAAATCTGGAATTAAGAATGGATTAAGAACAAAGGTTTAAGAGAAAGAAATCTACGAAAACAATTAAGAGAGTAAAGAAAGAGTAAAAAGAAAGAGAGAGAGAGAGAGAGAGCCCTAAAATTGTATTACGGGGGAGTATTTATACTCCGTACAAATCCTAAATTAAAACAAACTAAAACGACGTCAATCGTCTCCTAATAAATACACGCGCCCGATCGGGCGAGGCACCGCCCGATCGGGCGCGCCTTTTTGCTCTTCAGGTAAACTCTCGCGCCCGGCTGGGTGCCTCACCGGGCGCCAGCCTTAGCTTCTCTCGCCCGGCTGGGCGCGCCTCCGGGCGCCAGCCTCTTTGGTGAAACTGAAGAACCTAGTGGGGGTGATGGGAATCCCTCTCTGGTTCCATGTTAATTCTATCTTGGAATATAAGGGGTCTTAATGACCCCGGGAAGATAGCTTCAGTTAAGAAGCTTCTTTCAGTTTAGAAGATTAATGTTATGTGTCTTTTAGAAACAAAGGTTAAGCAAAAGAATAGTGATATTGTTCAGAAGAAAATTGGTAATCATTGGTCTTGGCACTGTAACTATTCTAACTCTCCTAGAGGCAGAATTTGGGTTGGGTGGAAAGCTAAGTGTGTCACTATGGATATCCTTATCTCTACTGAACAATCTGTTCACTGTCTTCTTAGTACTAGGGATTTGCAGACTCATATTCTGGTTACTTTTGTTTATGGTCTTCATACTATTCAAGACGGATTGCAATTGTGGGTTGGTCTTAAGGGATTGCCTGGAACTCTTCTTCCTTGGTTGTGTACTGGGGACTTCAATTCTATCTTGTATGCTGAAGATAGGTTAAATGGGGCTCCTGTCTTTGAGTATGAAACAAGAGACTTTCAGCAAATGTATTGATGATTTGGCCCTTGTTGAAATTAAGAGTAAGGGCTCTTTTTACTCTTGGTGTAATAAAGCTCATGTGGGTCCTATAACTTTTTCTAGGATTGATAGGGGTTAGGAATGGATTGATTGTTATGGTCATGTTGAAGCTATGAATTTTCCTCCATCCTTGTTTGATCATAACCCTATGGTGTATGAGGTATTTTCAAGTGTTTTCGTAGATTTGGTTGACTTTTGCAGGGATTTTATACTTTTGGAGTATTTTCCCGAGATATTTTGGAGCAATCACGAACATTGGAGAAGCACGACCAGATTTTATAGCCCAGGGCCGGTTAGCAATCACCCAAACTGGCCCGAAGAATTGGAGCCCAATCGTAGTCCAAATAGTGGCCCAAGAGAGCCGCCCGGCCAACCAGCACATCATTATTAGCAGATTCCAAAGGCAAATAAGTATTTGAACTAGAAACAGGAAAAGTGATTTGTATGTTAGTCTTCTTCTT